ACAATATTGATTGATTGATTGATTGATTGATTGATTGACTGATCGATTGATCGATCGATTGATTGATTGATCGATTGATCGATTGATCGATTGATTGATTGATTGATCGATTGATCGATTGACCAATTGATTGATTGATTGATTGATTGATTGGGGTGGGGTCGCCGTCCCCGGCGAGCCCCAAATCAATCAATCAATCAATCAATCAATGTCCCCGTTTTATTGGTTTTTTTTTTTTTTTTTTTTTTTTTTGCTCCAGTCTATTTGTGGGGAGCAGTGCGTGCTGGCAACCGGGCCCAGCGTTCCATATCGAATTGTACAGATCATTGAGAACATTTGAGATCATTTGAGATACGGGGGCAATTACCCAGCTTTGGCTGAGAACAGTCTGTGAACACGATACGACTCAGAAAGCATAGGGAGGATCATGAATATCTACTGACCTATTAAGGAACTACTCATGCAATAGGCTGCCACAGAGGTCCTACGAATGCTCACACCCCTCAGGATCCCTAACAAGCCCTTCTAAGACTTTCCAACACAGTCTTACTCCCTGCTGAGCTCTTCCAGGCCTCACGCCCCCACCCTGCTGGGTTACAGGGCAACACAACTCGCCCCAGCTCCGACCAGCGTTGTTCCAGCAGCAACCCTTGGTTGTCCCTTGGGTGCCCACCCCAAAGCATCCCCAGATCTCTCTACCAGGCCTCACGCACTTGCATCAGCAGGTTACAGGGCAACACCCCAGCACTGGCCAGCGTCGTTCTGGCATCGAGCAGCCGCAGATCACTGAGTATAACAGCATCGAAACCGCCTAAGATGGGTTGCTAAGAGTCCCTAGAGTCCGAAGACATTCATAAGAACAACCCACTTTTTTGCCACTATTCAGACTTTACCAAGTCACTAGAGTATGTGTGTCAGAAAGCCTCCCAACCACGAATCAGATACGTGAAACCTAATCAATCCCCCTACGACCACCACCAGCATGGCTCTTTTCAGCACGAACCGAAGCTCTTCCAGGCCTCATGCTCCCATCAGGTTAGGTTACAGAGTTGCACCACCTTGCTCCAGCACCGGCCAGCGTTGCTCCAGTTACGACCCCCGATGACCACTGAGACTGCCCCCACAAACAGCCCCCCAGAGCTCTCTACCAGGCCTCATGCCCCCACTAAGTTAGGTCACAGAGTTGCGCCACCTGTCTCCGGCTCCGGCCACCGTTGCTCCAGCATCGGTCTTCGAGGGCCACCGAATTTTCAACCACCCTTTGCAGGATCACAGATGACTTGCCAGATAGCACCTATTCCTACAACCTCCTCGAGAGGCAAACCAAATGGAAAGAAATAGTAAACTGGATGATAGACTTATTCGAGAGGGATCGCCCCTCCCTCTCCCTACCCCTCCCCCCTCAGCCCTACACTGCCTCCGCCGAGGAGAGTCACCCACTCTCCCTCGGCCCCAATATAGCACCAACCCTCTACCCCCCTTTCCCCAGGAGCACGCAGTTCCCACCTAAAGCATGCCGCCCCGCCCCTTGCCCATTTCTGCCTCCGCATGGACTGCTGTTGACCCACGCACCAGCCTCTGCCCCAGAATAGGGCAACCCCCTACTCCGCCCCTACCCTCTTTGAGGCATTCACCCCCTACCTTGTGATGCCCCTGCAAGATAGAGATCCCCCCCCCTCCTTCCTGCCGTTTAGCCCTCCGGGGACGATCCGATCCAGTCGACTACAGTTATTGATGACACACTTACCAAAATGTCGTTCGCAATTTGGAAAAGCAGGGCCTCTTCAAAAATATGCAATGACCCCGAAAACACCCTACATCTTTAAGAACAACCCACTGAAAAAAGCACATGGCGCTGCCCCTTGCGCCAATCATCGTCTGGCAGCTCCCACCATGTGCACGTATCACCAATTTAAAAGAAGCAAAAACTAATTATCAGAGAGATTCTGAAGTTTTTGGGTTCCAAGATTAGAAAAGCATGGTAGAAACTTTACTTGGGACTTTTGGAAATTGTAGTCGAAATTCAAGGATACGTAATTATAGAACAGATCCCTACGAATTGTGCTGGCGATTCAGAATGGACAATATATGTTGGTGTATAAGCGTGTACATTTGGATGAGAATACTTCGCTTGCGATTTATTAGAAATTATAGTTGAAATTCAAGGATATGTATAAATGTGTGTACATGTAGATGAGAATTTGGTTGATCAGAGAACAGAGGATAAGATTGTGAGTTTATTTTTCCGAATTTGATCAGCTGAATTTATAACTGTGTAAGCACTAGATTAGAGCAAGATTATAGGAAATTACTAAATTAGGATATACCAGATTGAGATCAGCGAAATCTATTTGAAAAAGCAGCCGATGCGAAGAGCACCACACATGTTCGCACGGAATTCTCCTGCTCCATCGCCGCTGTCATTATTGTGCCACTACCTGCTTCCGTGTCTTTAACCGTTGAACCAGCTCAAACGAACGCTTGAAACAGCCAGCTCTTTTTGATGCTCCAGCTTGTAACAAGCCTCCCTCCTCCCTCTCCGCATGAGAAAATGCTCCTCACTTTCTGCCCGCACTGCTGATTGATTGATTGATTGATTGATTGATTGATTGATTGGGTGGGTGGGAGGGGTTGCCACCCCACCCCCCTTCCCCCTACACATGGCAGGAAGGGTTCCTGCTGTTTGGCAGGCAAACTACCTCCCTGTCCAGTTTCTTCTTTTTTTTAATTAAAAAATATGTGGTGTAAAGAACCCCACCTCCGCAATACATTCAAAAAAAGAAAACCAAAAATAAACCTCGGAAAAAAAACAAAAGTTCACGTTCGGGCCGAATTTGTGGCTGGGGGGTCCCGAACGTTCAGGCGTTCGTCCCTAACCGAATGCCAGCTACTCTAATTGGAAAGAGCATACAAAGGGCGGTACCGAGGCCATTTTTTAACTCTTATAAAAGGGCGGTTTTATTGGCCTGGGCCAAGGTCTCCAAGAATAACCTATAAGTGAATGTGACGAATCTGCACGAGTAATGACCTCTCACCGGTCGGTGAGGAACATGCGGCCATCGACACCCTCAAAGTAATAACAATAACTCGTGCCCGTTGCTCAAGGATAAGACAAAGTACTGGAAAAGAGAGGAGGGAAAATGTCACCCAAAGCACCCCCCTCCCCTACCCCTGCAATCAAAATCGACATGACGGTTATGCATGGTAATGACCTCTCAAACATCAGCGATAGACATGCAGCCATGAACACGTGAACAGCAAATGATGAATACTCGTGGCCGTTGCGTTCGGACAAAGCACAGGAACAACAAGGAGGAAAAATGTTATCCCGTCCCCCTCCCCCCCCGACTCCACCCAACCCCATCGCCCCAACCTCAGGAAGTAATATGTAGCATTTGGAGTTCAAATCAGAACTATCGCATTTAATATGATGGTTCTGCACGTCGCCTTCGGACAAGACAAAGCAAAGAGAAAAGGAGGAGGAAAAATTTACCCAACCCCCCCCATCCCCAACCCCCCTTCACTTGCACCTGTGTCATAGTAATGATGTGGCATACTGCGTAGCCACACGGGCCCTGCAGGGCCCGTCCCGCACTTTCAGCCTAAAAGACTAAAACTTAGGGCTTACAGGCCCCGGTCGTTTCAGCCTGAAAGCTGAAAAACGAGGGCCTGCAGGCCCTACTCCGTTTTCAACCTATTTCTGGGCCTTTCAGGCCCGGAGGCTTTCCAGCCTGAAACGGAGGGCCATTTTAGACTCAGGCACGAAAACTGGGTTTCGGAACAGGCTATTTCTAGCCTGTTCCCCACGCCAGCTCGAGCAGGAGCTGCAGCTGCAGCCCCTGCCTTCCTTCGGCATTGGCAAGAGCAGCCTCCTGGACTGCTCGCCCGAG